ATCTTTACCACGGGTTCGGATGAGGCGTTTCTGCTTCCGCAGACGAAGTAACTTCGAAAGGGTTTCTTCCTCTTCGCGATCCAGGCGATCCTCCTCCCGTTCGAGCTTCACCCAGTCGGGATGCTCAGGACCCATACAGTCACATTTTTCTTTCAAGTTGCGACGAACGCACTCGGCGCACTGCCGTGAATCATTTGGAGATGACACGCAAGTAACATTTCGCCTCACGCAGTTCGAGCAAGAATCCATTTCGGGTAGTTCGTATCCGTGGTTCTTTATTCGACGGACAAGATCGTTGCGTTCCTGGAGTTTGCGGGCAGTGTCAGTAGGCATGTTGCATGTTGAAGGACTCGCTGAGGAGCAGCAGAGTCCCGGGGACATGGACGTACTTATAGGATTCGAGACGAATGCCCAGGGGAAGGGAGCGAGTGTTACGACGGAACAAGAAGGCTGGCCAACTACAGGACAGGAAGGAGGGAGGTCGCATGAGACCGGCCCTGGTACCTGGAGGGGCAGCGGGGAATAGTAGTTCCGAAAGTATCACGTGACGGACTCGCAGGATGATGAGAAGAGTCCTAAGAGTCCAGGACTCTGAGGACTCGAGTGAGTTCCCAGGAGTCCACTAGGCACGTGACGGACTCGCAGGATGATGAGAAGAATCCTCAGAGTCCAGGACTCCGAGGACTCGAGTGAGTTCCCAGGAGTCCACTAGGCACGACGCCAGTATATAAGTAGATAGTATTTCCTTAGATAGGAGCTTCGTGCTCAACTCAATACAGTATTTGTTATATACTAGTAACGTGTTAGTTGAAGCCTTTGTGTCTGATCCCCTGCCTCCTCTGATAAGTAAACCTTTACGCAAGAGAACCTCTGTTGTCATCTATCGTTTAGAAGTCAGCGTTACAGCGGCCTTCCTCACAATTGGGTAATTAAACCAACAAGCAATGGATGGACCAACAACGAGACAGGTCTAGAATGGCTTCATCACTTCGATAAACATACTTGCAGTCGTGCAAAAGGACCATATCGGATGTTGGTTTTAGACGGGCATGAAAGTCACGAATCAGCTGCGTTTCAGGAATATTGCAAAGCAAACAACATCATAACTCTCTGTCTACCTCCTCACTCGTCTCACCTAACTCAGCCACTTGATGTTGGGTGCTTTAGTGTTCTTAAACGCATGTATGGGCGTCAAATTGAGACCTTTATTAAGGCTCATATAAACCATATTACAAAGGTTGAGTTTTTTATAGCTTTCCACGCAGCTTATAACCAGTCAATAACAACTCAAAACACCAAAGCTGGATTTCGCGGAGCTGGTTTAGTGCCCTTTGATCCGCAAGTAATCATTTCAAAGCTAGACGTCAAGTTGCGGACTCCTACACCTACAGGACCCCCCTCTATAGACGCTGATCCTTGGGTTTCTCAAACGCCTCGCAACCCAATAGATGCTCTCTCACAGACTACTCTAGTTAAAAATCGCATTGCACAGCACCAAGGAAGCTCGCCAACCCCCATTTTTGCTACTGTTACTGCATTAGCTAAAGGGACAGAGATTTTGGCACATGAAATGACTTTATTGTCAGCTGAAGTCTGCACCCTTCGAGCAGCAAACGAAGGTCTTAGCAAACGCCGGAGGGCTAAAAAGTCTCGTGTCCGTCAAGGGTGTGCACTTTCTGTAGGGGATGTGTAATGGTGGGTGCACCAGATGTGAGAATCTAGCCACCCAAGGAAGGGATGAATTTACTAAGACAACACACTGTCTTAGAAAACAGAGCCAAAGGGTCATAGCTTAGACTATTCCACAACGCAGCAATCAGGTGTGTGATGTAGTGAAGTGGTTCAGACAAGTTGCAACAAATGTTGAGTCTGGGAACTCAGGGGTAAGTCAGAGGTTAACACCTCACTGACTTTTCAGAAACAAGGAGTAACAAGATGAATGCTTGGAAGCTTGGAAAAGACGTGGAAGTATGTGATAGTCGATTTACTGTATTGTCTGCTTGCCCTTTCTTAAGGAAAGGGCAATCCTATTTATGCCAAAGGAATGTAGTTCTCTCATTTTCCAAGACTTTCCATGACTTACCAGGCTTGGTAACTGTAGTTGACGTAAGAGAATCCCATAGAACCTTCTCTTAGGTTCGTAGCCTATAGGAAGTAAAAGGAGGTCCAAGGTCAGAGTACCCTATAGACAAATTATGTCATAGACAAATTATGTCATAGACAAATTATGTCATAGACAAATTATATCATAGACAAATTATGTCATAACTTAACCAATCTTGTGGGTAACTAAAGAGCGATGACATGTAATGAATCATAGAGGTTTGTAGGAGCTTTTAGAGCTATCGTTCATGCCCCTAGGCCTCTAGTTGGTAGAGATATGTCATGTGGTAGTATGAGTGATGTCATGTAATGAATCATAGAGAGTTGTAGAGATATGCTATGTGGTAATATCGGCCCAGTAACTAAGGAGTGATGACGTGTAATGAATCATAGATGGTTGTAGCAATCGTTGAGTAGTATTGCTCTTGTTGTTGGTGTGATAAGCCAAAATATGTATAGTGACTTGTAGGTTTGAGGAGGAGATTTCCAAGTTTGCTCTTGAGTTTGATAGCAAACTGAGTGCAACGAATGTCAGTATGACAGGATGCACATGATGATTTGTCCCAAAGTGCAGTTACGGAGCAAATAAATCGCGAGAAGCGCTCTGGAGGGGTTGGTAGGAATGAGGGGCAACCAGGTGTACGACATTGTGGCACTTGCGGGGGGGCTGGCCATAATGCACGAACTTGTCAGGAGGTCATAGAAGTACTTAGCTCATCAGATTCTGAATAGTTTTAGTTTTAATACATGTTGTGGTTGTTTAATTATACCTTACAGTGGTGGGTATAAAAAAGTTTCACGACTCAGTGACATTCACGACTCGGTGTACAACCACGTTAACGATATTTTCACTTTTACGATATTTACACGTGTCACCAATTGTATCGACTTAACGGGAGTTGACTGTATAATGAAAATTCTAACTACCCTGTTATAATAAGCCACTAACGTAAGTCGTGGCGTAACCGGAGAATAACATAAACGGGATAGTGGGAAATATTGAGCATCAAGAGTATCACCAAACCAATGTAAACCCCCCCCAACATGGTGCGAAAGCATAGTCAGAAAGCCGAAGAACTAGAAGTTTTATTGGCACAAGCTGTTGCTGGAGTTAAATCCGGATTATACAAATCTTCGTACGGTGCTGCAAAGGCTTTACACCTTCGGCCAGACACAGTCCTTCAATGCGTTAATGGGAAACTGTCACGGAGAGAAGCTCGACAACAACAACAACTGCTATCGCCAGCGCAAGAGCAGACACTTTTAAAGTGGATTAAGGTGCTAACAATTAGTGGATATGCTCCTAGTCACCGTATATTGCGGGATATTGCTGATGAAATCCGTGTCAACCATGCCGCGTTTTCGAACTGTCGCACACTAACAGTCAACATGCCCAACACATGCATCACAAAGAGATTTGTCATACTGACATTCGTTGCACTCAGTTTGCTATCAAACTCAAGAGCAAACTTGGAAATCTCCTCCTCAAACCTACAAGTCACTATACATATTTTGGCTTATCACACCAACAACAAGAGCAATACTACTCAACGATTGCTACAACCATCTATGATTCATTACACGTCATCACTCCTTAGTTACTGGGCCGATATTACCACATAGCATATCTCTACAACTCTCTATGATTCATTACATGACATCACTCATACTACCACATGACATATCTCTACCAACTAGAGGCCTAGGGGCATGAACGATAGCTCTAAAAGCTCCTACAAACCTCTATGATTCATTACATGTCATCGCTCTTTAGTTACCCACAAGATTGGTTAAGTTATGACATAATTTGTCTATGATATAATTTGTCTATGACATAATTTGTCTATGACATAATTTGTCTATGACATAATTTGTCTATGACATAATTTGTCTATAGGGTACTCTGACCTTGGACCTCCTTTTACTTCCTATAGGCTACGAACCTAAGAGAAGGTTCTATGGGATTCTCTTACGTCAACTACAGTTACCAAGCCTGGTAAGTCATGGAAAGTCTTGGAAAATGAGAGAACTACATTCCTTTGGCATAAATAGGATTGCCCTTTCCTTAAGAAAGGGCAAGCAGACAATACAGTAAATCGACTATCACATACTTCCACGTCTTTTCCAAGCTTCCAAGCATTCATCTTGTTACTCCTTGTTTCTGAAAAGTCAGTGAGGTGTTAACCTCTGACTTACCCCTGAGTTCCCAGACTCAACATTTGTTGCAACTTGTCTGAACCACTTCACTACATCACACACCTGATTGCTGCGTTGTGGAATAGTCTAAGCTATGACCCTTTGGCTCTGTTTTCTAAGACAGTGTGTTGTCTTAGTAAATTCATCCCTTCCTTGGGTGGCTAGATTCTCACATCTGGTGCACCCACCATTACAGTTTGCTCTTGAGTTTGATAGCAAACTGAGTGCAACGAATGTCAGTATGACAATTCTGGGTAGAATTATTCTCCTTCAGGGAGTAGGACCTGTAGTCCAGCTACGGAGGACGTCTGTGATATTGCAACATAAAACTGCCCATGACTACACATAGCTGCCCATAGATCAACAACTACATGCTTATACGACTAGCCTTGAGACTTATTAATAGTCATAGCAAAGCATAAGCGGACGGGAAATTGTTTACGGGAAAACTCTATGCGCTAAGCCTATAGAAGTAGGAAGTGGGGCTATAACCTAATGTAGCCAATCCTGAATTTCAACAAATGATAGCCAATCAATCAGTCTTGGCCTTTTATAATGTAGTATAGTATAGACGAGTATTGTAGACCGGCGCCGTAGGCGCCGGTTTGTAAGCCAGCCTGCCATGAAGCCACGTAAGCACGTGATTTGGCATAAGTCACGTGGACCACGACGCGTCCAAATCCCCCTTCTTCAACAACGCGATGGCCTCCACCCCCCTCACCACCGAGGCTTCTGGCCTCAAAGCCACCGGTAAGTTATTCCTTTTCTTTTCTTTCCTTTCTTGATTGAATTACCAGCTAACCTACGGATAGAAGAAGCCGTCGCCGCCGCCACCATGGCCGCAAATACCCCCCCCCCAACCTCCACCACCACTCCCGCCGCTACCGGAGCCGCGCCCACGCCAACTGGTAAGTGATACCCCTTCTCCTTATATAGATAGATTGATACTAACCCTTATTTAGATGAAGCCGCTTCCGAGACGACGATTCCGGGCTCAGCCCCCCCCACAACCCCCCCCACAACCTCCTTCGCCGCCTCTACGGCCGCGCCCGCGCCTATGGTGCCTGCGTCCTCGCCGGTGATCTCACCAACGTCGCTAGTCGCCTCCCTGCCGTCGCCTGGCCTTGCGTCTCCCGGCCTTGTGCGCCCCTCCACGGCGCTTGAACTTACGGCGCGCGTCCCCCCCGCAACGCCCGTCCGCCCGGCTACGGCCGTAAGAAGTACGTAACACCTCCCCCCATCCGTAAACAATGTGGCTAGATACTAACAGTTTGTTTAGGCGCACCACAACCGGTTGTTCTCGACTCCCCAACCCCCGCCCACCAGATGGCCCTCCAGCTCCTCCGGTCTGGGATGGCTGAAGAAACCCGGCGCTCCCGCGCCCTCGCCAGCCTCCTCACCCTCCCCGACGCCCGCCACCTAGAGTTCAGGTCGTTGATCCCCGCGGACCTCCCGAACTTAGCGCGGGTCCAAAATTTAGAGGCGGCCGTAGCCTTTACGGCTGGAGAGGTGGCCCAGCCACCGTGCACCGATTGCGACCGCGGCCACGGCCAATTCGTGGAGTGCGTCTCTGTCGTGGGTTTCCTCCACGGCAGTTGCGCAAACTGCCACTTCGGTGGCGAAGGGAAGCGCTGCTCCCTTCGTGGTAAGTCCTCTCCCTCCCTCTCTCTCTCTTGTTTTGGTTCCTGTACTAACTTAGATGGAACAGCCCGTCTGCTTACGGCCCTGGCCGCTACTTCTTCTACGGCGCCGCTCCTGTCTACGCCTGCCGCTGCGCCCATTACGGGTAGTCCTTCGGGACGATCTAGTAAGTCCCCCCCCCCTTTCCTTGTGGTTTACGGCCGTAACTAATTGATAGAAGGTCTCCATGTCCGCCATGCTGTTAAGGCAGCTACTTCCTACGCTACCGAGGCGCTTACGGAAGAAGCCCTTCGGGGCCGTAAACGCCGCGCCACCTCCCCCTCTACCAAGGACTCCCGCCCTGCCCGTCGCCCGCGCGTCACCGCCGCCCGCGTCCGCGCTACTACCCGCGCTAGTGTTGCCGCCACGACCGGCCTTGTGCCTGTTCCCCGCGCCCCCCTCGACTACCAGCTAGAGCTAGAGAATGCTGTCGCCCAGTTCCGCGTTGCGAGCCCCTCCTCCCGGGAGAGGCTTCGGTTGGTGCACTCCCTCGAGGGGGTGGCGATGCAAATCGTCACCTCCTCAGAGGGCAACCCCAGCCTCTTCCAGGGGGAGGATGAGGAGGAGGATGAAGAAGAGGAGGAGGAGGGAGAGGAGGAAGCGGCCTAAGGGCCATATATGTATGTAGAATATTGTAGAATAGCAAACGACACGCCTACGGGCAATTACCTTTGTTTGTAGTCTAGTAAAGTATAGTATTAAATGTGACATGTTCATTTACGTTCCGTTACGGATTATTACGGATAGTTACGGGTAGCTATAAATGACTTAACATGTAATACGTATAAGTAAGACCGTAAGTAAGACCGTAAGTAAGACCGTAAGTAAGACCGTAAGTAAGACCGTAAGTAAGACTGTAAGTAATAAATCAATAGTAGATAAGTAGAATAGAACGTAAAACTAATTAATCCCTACTAAAACCTCAGGAAATACTATATTTTGAGTAGTATTCTCATCTCCTTGTGGAAGTAGAACCTGCAACCCAGCAACGGATGACGTCCGTGACATTGCGACGTAAAACTGCCCATGACTAAACGTAGCTCTCCGTAAATCAACACCTACGTGCTTAAACGACTGGCCTTGAGACTTATTAATAGTCATAGCGAAGCATAAGCGGACAGGAAATTGTTTACGGGTGAGAATAAACCGGTAATCGCCCTCATTCGTCTGAAGTTTAACCCGTGGAATCGTCCGTAACTGTCCGTAAAACTGCTCTCCAAGTAGTCGGACTTGTAAACAATGTTGCGTAATAACTAATACTACCATTCGCGACCCGTTACATAACCCCTCTCGCGGGATAATATTCCGTAAGAGCATTATAGGCACACCAACCTTTAGCTGTAAGAGCGATAATGGTAGCTGAGCCGTCGTACAGGCCTGAAGCTCCTCAACAGGGACGTCATGAACGTCATTAGTACTATCATTAATATCTGCAGTATCAACTGAGAATAACGTCCTTACGGATCCAGGATAGCGGGAAAGCATAAGGGCGTTTAGCTGTAATACAGTCTCGTTATGGACCGTAAGCACCGCTCGGTCCGTAAACACATCCTGGGCATGGTTCTGTGACCGCAAAACCTCGCTAGGATATATAGCATCAAGTAGCGTATTGAGCTCCTTTGTTTGCGTAATATATGATGGTATAGTTACGGGTCCCTTAAGTTGCGGGTCGTATGGTATCCGTCCAATCCAAGAAACAAAATCCTCATCAAGTAACCCCCCGCGAACACGCATATTTACCCGTAAATGAAGCTTCTGTAGACGGGGCCAGACAAACGAACACTGTAAGCACGCATGTACGATCTGAGACTGGGAGCCCTTTGGCACTACGGGTAAGATCTGGGCAAAATCGCCACCAAGTATTACGGGCACACCACCAAATAAGATGTCATCCGTAACATCCCGTAGGTCGCATAATAGCCGGTGGACAGCCTCAAAACAGTGTTTGTGCTGCATTGGCACTTCGTCCCATATAATGAGACTTGTTTCCTTTAGTAGGCGCCCAGTCTTAGAGTTACGGGTAACTGAACAACAGGTTGTGTCCGTAAGATCAATTGGGATCTTAAACTGGGTATGAGAAGTGCACCCATTTGGTAATAATAAGGCTGCAATACCTGTAGAAGCAACACAAAGCACTGATTTCCCTTGCGCCCGGTAGAAGTGACACAAAGCCTTATATAAAAAGGTTTTCCCAGTCCCGCCTGGCCCTTGTAGGTAGAAGTGGGCAGTTTGCGGGGCCGTTTCAATAGCAGAACATATCGTACGGAAGCAGCCAAGCTGATCAGGGTTCAATTTAGAGACCAAATCATCCGCAAGTGTAGTTTCAGCAACTGGATCAAAGCCGTGCCTAACATACGGTAGCCTTACGGACCATTCATATTGCGGAAGTGGTAGTCCAAAGTCCGTAAGCAGCTTCCCAATGTCCGTAAGCCCAACTGAGAGTAAGTAGAGCCCGTAATCAATATGCGCATCTTGTAAAGAGCTAACTGAAACACTCCTACGCTCTAACTCATGTAGTAAGTCGTCACATATGTGCTCCTTAAACTGGTTCCAAAGGAGAAGTGGCTGAGCCATCATCTCCATCCGTAAACCTGTTAGAAATAGCGTCCGTAAGCCATGGCCAGTAGTGAAGATAACGGCTTCAGTAAAGCATTCAACCCACTCCTGGTCATTTTCAACTAAGCCGCGTGCGATACAGGCCTCATGATATGTTTCATAACATACCCCATTAAAGCTACGGATGTCCGTAAATGAGGTTGCGCCACGGACCACAGTAAGAAGCATCCGTAAGTAGAATTTATCACCTGCAGTTGGATCGCAATGATACATACGGCCAACGTTCCGGTCTAAACCCTTCTTGCGTGGTGTCCACTTCCGCCTAGTCTTATTCCAGACGAACCGTAAAGGGAACTCTGAATATAAAAGGGCATGTCCATCCACATATGTAGCGTTATAGCGGAAGAATCCACTTAAGGTTGAGTCCGTAGACTGTAGCCGTATAGCAAGCTCTTCTGGGGTAAGATCCTCACGGAAATATACAGTCTGACAGTTCTCTAAATGTATCTCAAGCTGAGTTACGGGTGGATATTCGCCATGGGTAGCACATTCTAGAAGGCGCCATATGGCTTCCGTAGGCCCAATATACCGCCCTTGGATATATTGGTCAATCTCGTCCGTAGACTCAACCGTAACTGTAGTCCGGTCAGAGCCCTTGTAAATATATTTATGAATATACTTTACAGCCTTCACAGTACTACACACTTCAACGTTCATATGACAGCGATATTTCTGAAGTAAGAACGGGTTATACGGGACCACCCAAGAGTTGTTACGGATCACGTTCTCAGTCCGTAAACCTAGCCGTGGAACCGTAAACGTGCGCCCATCATCACGGCGCCTATACTCAGGATAGCCTTCCTCGTTAACAATCGTAGAAGCTGTAAAAGGCTTCGGGAAGTTTTTTGAACATCGTAAAGGTGACGTTGGCGTTTTACGGGTCATACATGGTGCTTGCGGGTAAGCATCTCCACATGGTCCATGGGTCATTGTAGATATAACCACGTCCGTAAGCTCACCCGTAACATCCCAGGAGGGGTCTGGGAGCTCAGCACAAACCACCTCATCAATAAGATTCGGAACGTTAAACTGAAACCCCTTAACGAAGAGTAGTAAGTGCATGTGTGGCAGACCCCGCTTCTGGTACTCAATGGTATATACGTGTCCTGCGTACTCACCAAGCACCCCAGCCCGTAAGTCCGCAAGTAGGCTACGGACCTTTAAAGAAAACACCCGCGTAATAAGATCAGGCCGATCAATAGGTTGCTGGCCTGGAAAGAGAGCATGGGTAATTTCCGGCCATTTCGGATTAGCCGTAAAGGTGATAAAGAACGTAGGCTTGCCAAAGTGCCGTACAATAGCCATTGAGTCTTGATATAACCGTCGCATTGCACGGTCACTACCAGTATAGCTTGCAGGTAACACTATACGGCGACCTAGGTCGGCTATATTAACATCATCGCGTGATATAGCGTCCGTAAGTCCATTATATACATCTGCACGAATGGACTTCTGGTTCTTACGGAGCCAACTCAAGGCCGTAGACTCACAAATCACTAATATATCAACCGCAAATTGCTGAAATAGTCGTCCCGCATAATGAATAGTATTAAACCACCCTTTACGGGTATGCATATAGTAGCGGTAGAATGGTCTTTGCTCTAACCTCCGGTTCTGTCGTGGGCCGTTATTCTCCCGTAACGTAAGACCCCAATGCCACCCGTATTCACCATAAACGAAGAGGAGAACGTAATGTAATGGCATATAAGAAGCATGTGTAACATGAACCTTTGATAGCTGCTGCCGCCCATTTGAAGTGTTACGGTAGGCTAATACCAAGTCTCGCGGACCGGCATCACCTAGCTCATCTGGAATAATAGCTGCAATCTCATCACTGGTTGGCAAGTTCTCACGGCGCTTATCAGCTCCGCTCTCAACAATTAGCCGCATTTGCGGATTGAGTATAACCCGGAAGGGGCTATGAGTATCCGTAACAGCCGTAAGACGCTCTCGGGCAGTCTTATATATTGGAACAAACGGATTATGGTCCGTAAGTAACTGTAAGAGCTCCATAAGTATGGTAGAATCTAGTTGCGGGTGCTGTTTACGACGTGCCTCGGTTGCATAGGATGGATCGTAAAAGAAGAGTTGTGCAAAGGCTGGAGTTTCTTGCGTTATAGGCTGTAACGGGCCCTGGTAATGGAATAGCTCGCCATGGATCTGGAAGCTCTGTATTCCAGTGTTCTGCCGAATGCGTGTATCGCGAGTATAGCTTATGGACGTAAATGCCAAGGCGTTATTATACTCACGGATCTCTTTACGGAAACCCCTCCCTCGAGGATCCTGGCCCGTAAGTAGGTTCCGTAACTCTATAGGGGGCTTCCGTAAGGCGGGAAGGTTAACATCCCCCTTCTTACAACAGCTCTCATACTGCTTATCCTGAGTAGCCTCCTCTACCCAATGTAAGGCAGTACAATATTCACACTCATGGGTAAGGTGTCCAAGGTTATGCGGGGCAGCCGTAACAAATCGAGACAGGAACCCAGGGGGTGTAACATGGCGAGGTGCAATAGGATCCTCAATAGGTGTAGATTGTATAACTTGGGGAGTGATAGCTTGGGGTAGTAAGGACGTAACAGGCTGTCGTCGGGGGCGGCCACGGCCACGGCGTTGTAGAGGAGCGGCTACCCGTAAACTACCCGTAACAGGCTGTAAACATTAGTTAAGCATAACATATATATACGAAGGGGCCATACCACATGTGATTGTATAGGAGTAGTCTGGACATTACGGCGAGAGGTCCTTGAGGTAGAGCATAAAGAGCAAGTTGCGTACCGGCGACCAAGGCGATTTGTACGGAAGAGCGTAGCTTCCCGGTAAGCACCACAATGCGTACACCGAATTGGAGGTGAAGAACTCATTAGGAGAAGTAAGTAACATGGTTTACAGACAGGATCTAAGAGGCAGAGTAGCACGTTAAAACATATAGCTACAGTTACGGATAGGGGCTATGGATAGCAGGCACGGACCGTAAGAAGTGGATTATATGAAAA